GAGGTACTTAGTTTGCAATAAAGGCGTTGGTCGAAAGCAAAAACAAGTTGCAGTGAAGTCCATGTTCTATATGCCAATAATTCCTAGATTGCAAAGAATGTTTGCGTCAAAACATAGTGCAAGCCAAACGACATGGCATCATACAAATTTCAATAGTTCAGGCATGATGCAAAATCCATCTAAGGGTGAGGCATGGAAACACTTTGATAGAGTACATACAGAGTTTGCAACAGAACCCATAAATGTCAGCCTCAGATTATGCTCAGATGGTTTTACTCCTTATATCAAATCGTCAGCAATTGCCTATTCTTGTTGGCCTGTTATTGTTACCCCGTACAATATCCCTCATGAGATGTGCATGACGAAACATTAAATGTTTTTGACATGCTTCATTCCAGGACCGTCGAGTCCAAAAGCGGGAATAAATGTTTATTTGCAACCTTTAATTGATGATTTGAAGAGGTTGTGGATTGGAGAATAGACTTATGATGTGTCTCGTAAACAAAACTTTAATATGCGAGCTGCTTTGATGTGGACAATTAATGACTTTCTTGCATATGGCATGTTGTCTGGTTGGGGTACACATGGCAAAATGGAATGTCCGCAATGCATGGGACACACAAAAGTGTTTACTTTTCAAATGGGTGGTAAAAGTTCATGGTTTGATTGTCAACGCAGAGTCTTACATATGAACCGTGTTTTTAGAAAAAATAAGAATGCTTTTAGAAAAGGAATAAAAGTAACAGATCTTCCTCCCCCTTGTCTGTCATCAACTAAATTATGGAATAGTGTTTGTGACCTACCAAAATTCATAGATAATGGTAAAGCATGCAAAATTCAAGGATATATGGACACTCATAATTAGACAAAAAGAAGTATTTTTTGGGACCTTCCATATTGGAAGGATAATTTGTTGCGACATAATCTTGATGTTATGCATATTGAGAATAATTTTTTTGATAATGTATTTAACAGAGTGATGGATGTCCAAGGCAAGACAAAAGATAATGAGAAGGCTAGAAAGGACTTGGAACTTTTGTGTAATCGAAAAGACGTGTAGTTGAAACCTCAACCAAATGGAAAATTATTAAAACTCAAGGCTTGTTACACTCTTACTCCCCAAGAAGAAAAAACAGTTTGTCGATGGTTAAATGAATCGCTGATGCCCGATGGCTATTCTTCTAACTTAGCAAGATGTACTGATACAAAAAATGGAAAGCTGCATGGAATGAACAGTCATGATTGTCATGTTTTCATTTTAGGGTAAGGGTAAGGCTCGCCGCACAAGGTTCATTTTAGAAGAGGTTTTTGATTCGTTGATGTTTATTCCTATGCCACTTTTGAGTCAGGTGCATCCTACTTTACCGCATGTGCACCCTATTCCACCGTCTATGCAGAATTCACTCATGTCTGGTGGATCTTTCACCGGATTACTATCCACTCCTAATTTTTCTTCATTCTCACTGATGTTTGTGCTGACCTTTACTAGTCCTCCTGGATAAGCACCTATTATGCATCCCAGCACCCCGCATCCCACATATTTTCTGATGCCATCCATGCAGTCGAGCGGCCCTAGCTTTTCGATGCCTTCCATGCAACATTTTATGCCATATATGGAGGCTGTTGGATCTAGTATGCCACATTCATCATCCGTGCAGCATTCTATGCCATATATGGAGGCTGGTGGATCTAGCATGCCACATTCATCACTCGTGCATTCTACATGATGAGCAGGATGATGAGGATGATACTAGTCCTCCTGGTCGTGGAGATACCAGTTCTTATGATCATGGAGATACTAGTGCTTCTGACAGCGCTCATGAGGAGTGAAGGAGGACGCGCATTCTAAGAAATGCAAAGCCCTAAACAATTAGGAAATACAAAGGGAGATTTGCCACACTGCGATGGAGGAAGGTATGTGTTTATATTTTATATATTATTTTTAAAAATTTTAAATTTGAGTTTTTTTTTTATGCTAATACTCACTCAATATTTTTAGCCTTATCCCATCACACCAGGCAATATCGTGTATAACAAAAGTTATAAAAGAAAAGTATAAAAAGTTTTGGCTGTCTTGTGGAGCACTTCTCGAAACAGAGAAGGAAGATTGGTTTAGTTTATTTCAGGTATAAAAAGTAACTATTATTTTAATTTCCTTTATATTTAGTTTATTTCATGATTATAAATTATTAATCTTTTTTAAATTCATAAAACAATGTAGGAGAAATGTTGTTGGCACTTTACAGAGCAACATCAAGTAAGAGACAATTTTGATACGAAATGTGCTGCCCGATTATCTGACACGCTTAGGCGTGTTCGAATTAATTGGGGAAAAAGGAACACGTCCATGTTGGATAGGTGAAGATGTATTTAAACAACTTATTGAGCATTAGAATTCAGAAACCTTTAAGCAAGTATCTGAAATAGCAAAAAAAATAGGGCATCTGAAGTTGGTGGCTGCAACTATGCAGCAGGCAGTATTAATGTTACTGAAATTGCACATAGGCTGGTAAATTTATTTATATTTTTACTTAAATTTTCATTTAAAATTTAGATTAAAACTAACTATTTTTCATTTATGTTTCATTTTATTAGCGTGATGAGTTTGGTAGAACTCCGATGCTTAATGAGATTCATCTAGAGACCCATATCAAGAAAAATGAGGAGTTTGTCGATAAACGCTTAAAAGACACTCAAGTAAGCTTTTCTAAAATTTAGTCATTTTATTTCTTTCTTTTATGTACCTATCTTATTTAAATTATGATAACATCTAACTTATTTATTTTTTATAGAAGAAGTATGATAAAAAACTTGCACTTTCTTTATCTGAGCATCCCGAGTTACCTCCACTGCCACAGGGATATCCTGTTGATCCTTGTCTAGGTTTTCGGACTTGGTATGATGTTGCTCGCGGAAAGAGGAAAAATGGGAGAGTGTATGGTGCTTGAAGGTATGCCAAAACAATCAAGCAGCGTGATATGGTTTTCAGAATGAGACTTGATGATGGAGAATGATCATCACGTCCACCTATATTAATCGCTGATATGCTTGAAATTGCGAGAAACTTGGCGCAAACTGAGAGGAAAACAACGGAGTACAAGGAAGCAATGCGGATTGCAAATGAGCGCGCACAGAAATATAAACAATTTATGGTCTCGCATATGAATCAAGGTTTTGGAGAAAGAGATGAGGATGATGAAGATGAGAAGGACGATGAAGAAGTTGATTAAACATTTTGAAAATATGAAACTTAATATGTATTTTTATATTTTATTTTATCTTTGTCATGAACTATTTTTATTTTGATGATGGATATGGATATTTAATTTTATTGCACTTTAAGGTATAAATTATTATATTTTATAAAATTAAAAAATATATATTATGTAATTATATTATTCTAATTATAATAGTATAATAAAATAATATAATTATAAATTTAATAATAATTTATTATATAATTATATCATTCTAATTATAATAATATAATTAAAGTAATATAATTATAAAATTTTAATAATAATATTATATACGTTAGCTAGGGGTTAAATCTCTCACAAAATTCAAAACGTAAGTCAATTTGTTAGGGGTTTTACCTCTCGCAAAAGTTTGACGCATACAGATAGAGGCTTTACCCCTCACAAAATACAAAACGCATGTACTTTAGCTAGGGGCTTATCCCTTAGCGAATCAGCTGACATATATGTGATACTCTGTGACACTAGTCTGTGTCTATGCTTGTAACAGAGCAGCCTGAATATTTAATATGACAATTTGTGAGGGGCTTACTCCCTAACCATAAATTTGTGATGCCCTGATTAACTAGGGGTCATATCCCCTCACAAATATATGTTTTGTGAGGGGTTCTTACTGAGGTTAGACCCCTAGCTAATTACAGTTTTTCTTGTAGTGTAAAAAATTATCTCACTTATTCACTAAAAAAGTTAAATTCTAAATATTAATTAATTATAAAAAAACATCAAACTTATCTCACTTATAAAAAAATCTAAAATAACAAATATTAATTATTAAATCAAAATAAAAGCATAAATCAAATTAAAATATTAAGACTCTAACTAAATCTTTTTCTCTTTTTTCTTAAAATACTTTTTTTGGTTGCATTTTGAATTCTATTTTAATGTTTGTTAATTCTTGTTGGAAGTTATTCTTTAAACACTTTAATGCTGAAATAGTATTTTTATTCAATCTGTTTGACTTTGTTAAAAATAATTATATATTGTTGAAATATCAACGTGTATAATAATATACACATTAAATTCATTAACTCTTACTCTTTTAGAAAAAGTCAGCATTGATTAAAAATCTAGAAAGCTTGCAAATTCCAATGGTTTATTAAACATTTAGACAAAAACTATATTTGCAATTAATTTCAAAAACAACAATATAATAACAAAAACAATAATAATATTTTAAATATTATTTTATTAGCATATTTAGTGGGAGTAAATTAAATAGATAAACTAAGATATTTTTTGTAGACTCAAAGTAATTTATAAAATTTAAAATATTTATAGTTGATTTGAGTTGATTTTACTTTAATGATGGTTGTTTGTAAAAAACTAAAACTTGATCCTATATTTTAGAGTTGTTGGAGCTTTTATTGATATTTTAATAATATAAAATAATAATTAAAGTCATTGAAATTTGATAGTGTGTTGGTTATATAGTTACCGAAGACTAATTGTTAGTTTACTTAGTGTCATGTCATTCTTATTCCAATGCAAATTGTTTATAACTACTATCACTATTAATAAATTTAATACTACACAATCTGCACCAAAGATGAGCTTAATAAAACAAATATTTTTATTTCAAATATTTCATTCTTTCATCATTTGCATATATTTTATAATAAAAAGAAAATACTTCTTTGCTTTAATGCCCTACAGTCTCTTATATTCCTAATAAAATACATTCATCAAATTTTCTATTTAACCACAGCACCATTTCTCTTCTTTTTTTATTTCATTCTAGTCAACATGCAAGGATTCATCACTCATGTATTAATTTTTAGTTTTATTTCACCTTGTCTATGTACAAGGTTTCATGTTGGAACCACAAATGATAATTATAATGTGATGCAATATGGTGCAATTGGTGATGGCAAATCTGATGATACACAAGTATATATATGTTTCTATGTTTTTTTTATATCATCATGAGAAAAAAATTCTCTTTATTTTATTTTTATATCTTTATGAGAAAAAATTATCTTTATTTTATTTTTATATAATCATGAGAAAAAAATTCTCTTTATTTTATTTTTATATCTTTATGAGAAGTTTATGGTTTTGATAGATTGTGATTAATTGAGAGTGACCCTTAACAATATATATTTTTAATTATATGTAGGCATTTTCAAAAGCATGGAGTAGTGCATGTGCAGCAATAGGGATGTCAACATTAGTTATACCATCTGGAAAATCATTCATGGTCACTAGAGTAAATTTTAGTGGTCCTTGCAATGCTAAAATTCTCATTCAGGTATATAATATCAATTTTATTTCGTTAAGTGAATTCGGTTAATAGTTGTTTAAAAATATTTTTGTTAATTCACCTTTAAAAAATGAAAATTCTTTATATTTTAAAATTTTAATTTATTTTCGCCTGAACAGATTGAAGGGCGAATAATTGCACCTTCTAAAGAAAACTGGAAAGGTGAGGCGAATTTGATTTCGATTGAATATTTAAACGGACTTATCGTTGATGGCAATGGCCATGGAGAAGTCTATGGGAATGGTGGTAATTGGTGGAAATGTCCAACTTGTTTTCGACCCGGGGTATGATTTTATAACAAATATATTCTATGATACATAGGATTGTCTTTAAGAGCGTGTAAGACGAATTATTATACAGAGTCTCAACTTTGTCAAGATTAAACTATAGATAAATAGAGCCTCAAACTTCTATTTGTTTTGCCACAATTAAACTGTGGTTAAGTTACACTGAGCCTCAAATTATTATTTTGAAGTGATTGTGAGTATCTTGTTAATGGATTGTTATTTTGGAGTGATTGTGAGTATCTTGTTAATGGTGCAGGTGTTTTTTTTTCATGCATGCAATGATCTTAATGTTCGGAACCTGACGATCAGTGATAGTCCAAAAACTCATGTATATGTTAATCAGTGCAATGGTGCAACATTCACTCGTGTATCTATTAATTCTCCTGCTACTAGCCCTAACACAGATGGGTTTGGCATTTCTTATTCTACTAATATCTTGATACAAGACTCTAACATAAAATCTGGTAATTCAAGTTTGTATAGTAAATGTTAGAAAGTTGTTTATAGAATTAATCATTCTCCTCGAAATGATAACATGTGTGTAAATTCAATTTGAGTTTTGTAGGTGATGATTGTATTGCCATCAACGACGGTTCGACTTTTATCAATGCTACTCAGGTTACTTGTGGACCGGGTCATGGGATAAGGTTTATAAAAATTCTCTCTTAAATATTAAACAAAGTTTGAATTCTGCGGGTATTTGTATTCTTAGCAAATCTCATAAATATGAATTTTATGAATTAACCAGCGTTGGTAGTCTCGGTAGAAATAGAACTACAGAAAAAGTTTCCGATGTTCATGTGCGGAATTGCACTTTCATTGGAACTACAAATGGAGCAAGAATCAAGACAGTTGAAGTGAGTGTTACTAATAAGGTTAAATATATGTTTATGCTATAGTTCATGTAGAAATATGGATCTTAGTTTTACTATTTTTTACAGGGTGGATCAGGTTATGCAAAACAGATTACTTTTGAAGAAATCATCCTTGTGAATGTGAAGAACCCTATAATTATAGATCAAAAATATAATGTTGTTATCCAGGTACGTATATTTCACTCTACACTATTCGTATATTTCAGAGTTAGCCGATTTTATGTATCATAATTATGTGTTGAAATTGTTAGGATACATCTGTGTTGGTGAGTTCTGTGACGTATAGAGGATTTACTGGAACTTCTGCAACTGATGTAGCCATTGATTTAGATTGTAGCTCATCTGGTTGTTATGGCATTGTATTGGATGAAAACAACATTGTATCGGCTCAACCAGGAAAGAAGACTTCGGCTTTTTGCAGAAATGCTCATGGAGCTGCTACAAATACTATTCCAAATGTCCTTTGTCTATCTAAATAATGCGCTATTTGCGATATTTGGAAGAAAAAATTTATTCAAAAGAAAACATAGACAAGTGTTTGGAATATATAATGTGTTTGAATAGTATACTTTGGCCTTAAATTGTAGTAATTCATTTACATTGTATTAAAAAAGAATAGAAATTTATATGATGCACTCGTGTTTAGTTCTTTTTGTTTAATATTCCATAAATAAGTTGTCCAAGCTCTTCTCCGCAATCTTCTTGTGCGTGATGTCCAGCCTACAAAGAGCACGAATAAGAAGATTTATGAAGAAGATAGCTTTGTGGTGAACTAGTTTATGATAGGAAAGTGAATCTAAAGTAATTAATTACCCTTGGAACTTCAACAAGTTTATGATTGGAACTTTTGCAGAAGTCTTCAACTCCATCGTAGCTTAACCAGCGATCTCTTTGGCCCCAACATATCGTTGTTCGAACATTCCAACTTTTGTCGGTAAGTATTGTTTGCATATCCTCTACATACCTCTGAAGAAAAATGAATTAAACATACATATGTGTGTTAGTTTACTTTTTCTCATACGAATTAAAGAGACAAGAGTTGAATCACTGTGGATTGTAGTATCAAGGCTACTTTGCCACTTACAACACAACGTCGTGCATATGTTAAATACTTAATTATCAATTTTGAATTAATAAGGCGCAAAACCTTGAGGTCTTTCTTCATGGTTCTGGTAATTGCATTCAATGCAAAGCCTGAGGATCCAGATATGAGATAGGGTCTTCTATAGACCATTGCATCTTCTTCTTTCATTTTGTAGGGTCCAGAGCTTGTTAGAGCTTTGTCACTGGCCCTCAATGGATCCTAATCACTCACAAGAGAATTATAACCAAAGTAGTATGTATTAAACTTGAATAATAGTATTTATGACGGTTAAATACCTGAGAAAATATTTCACCCAACAGAAAGTTGCTGAATATGGACAATGTTGGTGGAAGCTTGACATGCTGAGCTGTTAACTTATTCAACAAGAAAGAGAAATTCAAGTTATCAAACTGTTAAGTACTCCATTAAGGACTGATTAATGATATATGACAACATCTTGTTATATTCATTAATCAACAACCGAAACTTTTCTGTCTAAATAACAAAACTCAAAATTAAACTTACAGGTGGATTAATGAGTATTAAGTTGTTAATCTTCTCCTGGTGATTGCTGGCATACTTAACTACAACTGGTGAAAAATATCCCTGTGAACAAACGAGAATAATGATAGGTTAAAGAAGAGATTATTATGACAAGTAGATCCATGATTTTTATCAACTAAGTCAAACTTACTTGGACAACAAGTGAGACTTTAGTAACACCAAGTTCATCAATAAGTGACTCCAATGATGACACATATTCTGCATGGAAGAATAATCTGATTTTCACATGTTTGGATGTTATCAAGTAGAATTAATTGTCTCTAGAATTGATTCCAACTTAAGACTAGAATTTAGAGATTTTGTTTCTACGATTGAATTGATTTTTAGCTTCAAATTTATTTTTCAACTCACTTTTTTATACAAACGTGTTCATACATAAATCAATTTATATTCAATTCACTTTTAGTCAAAATTAGTTCTATAAAATCAACCTATGTTACCGCGTAACCAAACACAAGCAATTACCGTCAAGGGTATAGTCAAACCCATATTTGGGTTGAGGCTTATCAGAAAACCCAAATCCTGAAATAGAAAAGAAAATGGAGTAAACTTTTCTGGTAAAAATAAATTTTCAATTCAAACATTCGTTAATTTGGTTGTATCAATTAAAAACACCATAAAGTAAGAAATGACACAAAACATGTTTGAATATGTCAGAAGTTCGAAACATAAATAGATGAAATTTCAGTTACATAAATTGAATGAAAACATTGTGATCTTACCTAGCCAATCAAATGTTACAGCATGATAGTCCTTTGAGAGTACTGGGAGAACTTTGCGATAAGAATACGCCTAGACAGCAGCACCAAAACAACTCAAGATATTGTCATCATTTCGATTTCATCGAAAACAAATTAAGAAGTGTTCATTTACAGTCGACAAATAAAATGAAACTTACCTGCGAAGGGAAGCCATGGACTAATATGACAGAAGGATTATCAGCATTTCCGCGTTCAACACAAAACCATCTATTGTGTAAAATCATATTCAATTCTTAACATATGAATCAATTAAATTGTAGAAGTTGATTTCAACTTATGTGAAAAGCTATTAGTCAGAGAATCAATGATATAAGAAGATACATCTAGTTTACCTGAAACGATCGCCGCTAGCTTGAGAACTATTCCCCATTGTTAGCCCAAAAATTGGATCTTTTGCCTTTTCACCAGTTCCAGGAATTGAATAGGCTTTAACCTAATGATATAAAAAAAACATTGGATAAAATGAAGATATGTATGAAAAAACATGATGAATAGTTACCATTTTGCCTTGCTTAAACCATTCATCACTTGGATTTGGTCCATCTGAATATTTTCCTGAGAGAAGATTACAGAAAAGTATATTATCCATCAATGGTTTAGCAATGGAATAGAAAGAGTGGTAGCTAGTTATTACCTCCGCTGAAAGAGAAACCGTCACCAACAGAAACAGGAGCATCTATAAGATAAGCATCATCCTGCAGGATTGGGAAGAAAGTATAAAGAGGTAAAGATGATAAAAACAAGGGATTAACAAAAAGACACAAACTTTGTCTCCATTTGAAGTAGTTTTACAGTTGAGCTTCAGAGACTTTTTTGAAGGGAAACGCTTGGTGGAAGAAGAATGGAAGTAACAAGAAGAAGAAGCATGAAAAGCTTGAATGATCATTGCAATGTGGTTGGTTTTGTTGGAGATTGAGGAGGGAAGAGTTAGGTGAAGAATTAACCCAACAGAAAGACAGTTGGTACTAGTTTTGATGCTAACGTGGAAAAACAAACATCGTGTTTTTTTTGTCCATTTGGGAAAGGATAGGGATTCTGTGGTCCCAAAACTGCGTTCTGCCATTTCATAATCTCAAAATCAACCATTCATTTACTATATAAATATCAATATGATAAGTTTTTTTTATTTTTAATTAGAGTTTTGTTGCTTATAAGTAAATTTCAATTCGAGAAATTAATCTATCCAATTGTGTGCGTAAAATAAGCCGCTTATAAAAAAATCCAAATTTATGATTAAAACAATTTATAATGAAAATTTTGAATTCCTCTTTAAATTAGGTTTATTAAAAAAATAGTGTAGTGAATAGAAATGTGTGGCTATATCTTCAACTTCAAAATGTGCGTCCACGGCCTATACTATGAGCAGAATTTTCACGCACATAAGTTGTTTGATGACTAGCATTCACAACATTTGCTGAAATAGAGGAAGTAGTCAATTTTTGGCGAAATTTATCAAGCTGCACCTTTTGAATATAGATGGGTGCTTCAACATCATAGAGAGATTGAGGTTTATGAACTCCATACATTTGCATAACAAACAGATTAAATTCCTCAAAAAGACCGTTGAGGATGAAGTCAATTTGATCATGTTTAAAAACGATGTCTCCAACTGCAAGCAACTAGTTCAGAATAGCTTTAACACGTAATACAAATCAGTGACTGAACTAGTACCTTTTTTTTATGAATTTCAATTCAATGCGTAGCTGGAGAGCACGAGCTTTCATGTGCGCATTAAAGTAGTTGTGGATTCTATCCCAAACTTTAAAGGCATGCTTGCATGAGAGAACACGAGTAAAAATATATTCGAATATCATGGAGAGAAGGAAAATGAAAATAGTTTGATCTTGAATGATCCACTCTTTATATTTATCAAAGATCTTGTCGTCAAGCTGATATTGAGGCATCTTGAACTTAATTAGAATGCAAGGATTCACAACTACTTTATGAGCTAGGATCAAACATTCAACCTACTGATTCCAAAGCAAGTAATTATTTTTCGACAATTTGATCGAAAGTTTCTAACTGAAATGTTGTGAAGTGGATGAATCAGGTGCAAAAAACACATTGTGTGGTAAGGATTGACGAGCATCGCTGCTTGGTGCAATCAGTGTAACATTGGGATATTTTTTCATGGAGGCTCAACGAAGAAGATGAAGAGGAGAAGGTTACATAACAAAATTCTGATAGAGAGAGAGAGACTCAGTGATTGATACTATAATAAAATGTATTTCTCACATTATTCATTTAATCTCTCTCTGAAGGTTTACTAAACCATAACCACATATATCGTAAAGAATATATGGCAAATGGTGCAAAAGTTAGTTACAATTATGTATATAAGTGTCTCATGATCCATTTATATTGACATACATTGATGCATATGTAAAGTTATATAATTTGTCGCCTAAGCTAATCTCTTTATAGTGTGGTACACTATGACGTGTCTAGATTTCAATATACATAAGTTTATAATCTATATTTTAGTATTTGGACTTATTTTTAATTTAAATTTGACTTTTAAAAAGAGTATATCGTGTATTTTATGCATCTGAAGATTTAAATTCAAATTTCAAGGTTATTTAAATTCTAGAACGTGAGTAAAGTATGGAATACAATAAGTAATTTCAAAAAAAAAAGTCTATCAACTATACTCTTAGGGTGGTACTAGGAGAGATTTCCAAAAAATTTCTTGTTATTATTTACCCATCAAATTTTATTTTTATTTCAAAATTTTCATTTTTACTTCCACATAATTTCCACTGCACATTTTTCCGTATTTCTAGAAAATCTGACATTCATATCAGAAATTTAAAATTCTTTGATAAAAAATTTTAAAATTTTTGATATTTCTAATAAAAAATTCCAAAATTTTAAAAAATTACAAAACTTTTGCAAAAATAAAATGTTTCGGTAATTTTACATAAAAAAAAACTGTAAATTTTCGGTACAAACTGAAAATTTCTAATAAAAACTTAAAAATTTCTAAAATTTTCATAGTTCATCCAAGGTTATATCCATAAAATTGCTCTAAATGGAATGTGAATATAAGTAAGGGGGAGTCAGTAAAATTGTGGGAGTAACAAAATAAGAGTGGCCGTTGAATGAGAGGCCCAAACCCATCTTGTCCATATCCTATCTATTAACAATGAAAACAAAACAAAGAAAAAGGTTGTTCTTTTTGTTGAGAGACCAAAATGGCGCTACAGTGTGTGAAACAGCACCACTTACGAGGTTTACAGAGCGAGACAACCTTAACTTTCCTTTCATTGTTACGAAATCTGAAGCTCCCAGGAACAGGTTCGTTCTCTTTCACAACAAATTCATCCCGAAAAACAATTTTGAAATATTTATCGTTTTTTATATTAATTTAATATGATTGAGGCAATTGAATACTTGTTTTTTTTTTAATTATGTTGTTGTGTTTTGATGGAAATTGATGTAGTGAGATGGGTCAGTGGTGAAATACCAGTTAAGTCTTCCTTTAGATGCTATGCTACTGCAAAATCCGAGAGGATTATACCAATCAAAAAGTATGCTTTCATTCATTGCTATGTGTATCTTTATTCTTATGTAAAATTTATATTCTTGCTACATTCATAAGAGCAAATTATTTTGAATTAAGTAAGTGTAGCCGTTGAGATATTGCGTTGGATATGCAATAAGATTAGACAGGATATGGGTAGAAATGAAAATATTAGAGCCTATAGTAGAGAAGATGTGGAAAATAGACTTAGATGGTTGGAGAGTACATCAGATGGAGAGAAGTCAAACAATTAGAAAAAGGAAGATTTAGAGAAACTATACGAGAAGTTATTAAGAACTTGAGATTAACGATTTGCATAGAAACATGGTATTGAATAGAACATTACGGCGAAAGTTGATCCATGTAATCGACCCCACTTAGTGGAATAAGGCTCGGTTGTTAAGATTTAAATTGTTTTATAATTACCCTCAAAAAGTTGTGGTGCATATAGGCTAAGGTAGTTTGTGTTAATCTTTCAAAGGAATAAGGGAGATTATTCCATCATTCATTTGTTACTTTCACTAATTAGTTACTGTTTCGTTTAGGAAAAAGAGGCTGGATGAAGTCTGCCTTGAAAGGTATGAGCAATATAGTCGATCCATCATCCAGTCGTGGATTTTGCAAGGTAACTAATTTTACTATTATTTTCAATTTAAAAAATAAAATAAGTGTAGCCGAGATAAAGACGTTGCGTTGGATGTGTATTAAGATAAGATTAGAAATGACAGTATTTTTCTTTCCAGGCTCCTCTTATGCCTATTCTTGATAAGAAGGAAAAGTATATTATTTTATATAATTGACAAAATATGTACCGCAGGAAAAGTATATGTGAACGGGAAGGTGATTAATAAAGCTGGTACCCCTGTTTCTGATAAATCTGTAGTCGAGATAATGGCTGAAGTTCCCAAATATGTATGTAGGTGAAGTCACCAATCTCTGTTCACTTGAAACAGTATCTCAACGCAACTTTTACGAAACCGAATTGTTTTTTTGGTTTTTTTATGTCTACACAGAGCTGGACATAAGCTGGAAGGTGCCATTGAACAGCTCGGTGTCGATGTTGCTGGTAAAGTTGCTCTTGATTCTGGGCTGTCGACTGGAGGATTTACCGACTGCTTACTTCAGTATGGCGCATCACATGTTTATGGGGTTGATGTCGGTTACGGACAGGTAGTTTGTTTACCACTATTATTGTTTTCTTATGGCATTTCCCTAATTGGTTTGCTTTATTGCACATCTGCGGTTGTTTAGTGATTATCTATTATTAACTTACCTAGGTAGCAGAAAAAATTCGAAGAGATGAACGTGTATCAATCATAGACCGAACAAATTTACGATATCTCAAAGAACTCCCACAAAATGTTGATTTGGTGACCCTAGACCTCTCATTCATATCTATTCTTACGGTATGCTCTCAAATCAGGTTTAACATAGGCCTATTCTTCGGTTAGAATGTGTATGATTAGCCTTGTTGATTGACTAAATATTCTTATTGTTTTAATAGGTCATGCCTGCGGTGGTAAATGTAATGAAGGAAGATGCTGCATTAGTGATATTGGTTAAGCCGCAATTTGAAGCTCAGAGATCTCAAGTAAGGAATATCAACTCCTATTATGTTCTTTCAGGTTGTTTTGATATTTCCAACAACAGTATAAACTCTTGGTCAAAAGTTCTATCTCTGACGGTCACTTTTATTTATATTATGTATTAACGTAAACAAGTTATTGATATTTATAAATCACCAACTTAAAAAAAAAAATATCATTTCTAAATTTGAAATTCCATTCTCTATGCAGGTAGGAAAGGGAGGGATAGTGAAAGATCCTCTAGTCCATCAAGAGGTGGGTGGTTTTATGCTATCTGAACAAAAGGCTTATATAGAGAACTTGGCTGAGTTAAAATTGTGATTGACTTGTTCTGAATTCAGGTTCTTGAGAAGATTACAAAGGGAGTAGAGAGTTTTGGTTTCTGCAGCAAAGGATGGATCGAGTCTCCTCTCAAAGGTGCCAAGGGTAATACAGAATTTCTTGTTCACTTCAGCAGAATCCATACCAAAGGTTCTAAAAAACATGAAACTAAAGAGGAATATAAGCTTGATGATGCATTTCTTCAATCTTCAGAGAAGTAGCAGGTGGGAGAGTATTCATCTATAGAAATTAGTTATTTGGGTCATTGAATGGGTAGTAAAGGAATTCAGTATGAACCATTTAAACAAAACAAATTCATGATGTTTGCCTTCAAATGAGAACTGACGAAACAAGATGTTTGCCTTCAAATGAGAGACTGACGAAACAAAATCGATCTTGATGCTCTTGTACGGGTCTTTGTTAGAAATTTGTTTTAATGTAATGAGTAATATAAGATGTATCTTGTTAAAACTCTTATTCATTCATGGCTATGGTCAATTAAAATTATGATGAGGAGTACTTAGATTTCCAAGAACTTGATATTGTTGTTACTTCCTGTTTTGATATTGTGTTTATCGTGAAAATGGTTGAATTTTGGAATTTGATTTGAACCATAGTATCTTGATTCAAAAGCTGGATTTTTCTCTACATATTTTCCTGTTGAAAAAAGCTGTCCATTTATAGCTTTAACAAAAACAATTATAAACCCAACATGATGACATGTTTGAATTTAATTTTAAACAGTTAAACTATAGTATTTAAGGTGTCAAAGAGTAGTAGTATAAGTATATACAACGTCTACAAGTACGACAAACCTAATTTCTATAAACATGTCTCAACTTTCCAACAATTTTTCTGCTACAACTTTCTATCATTGACAATTGCAAACACATCCCTTCCTTCATCTCAATTCCATAACTTCGTTTTATCTAAAAATCATTTGAAACTATATTATCCAGCATTCCTAGAGGAGTTTTAAGACCAACAACTTGCCCGACAACGGAGAACCAAGAAACTAAATATTGTTCCATCAAGTTTTTATTCAAAGATGTATCACCACCACATAGGAGTAGTTTCATCCATTCACTAGTCCCACAAGGATGTAGCTTGTACCATGGCCTATTCAAATAGGGATGTTCCTGCAACATATAAATTTGAAACCATTAGTTAAATGTATAGAACAAGACTATAAACAAACTGATGATAGGGTATGCAGATCAATAGTAGTTTTTTTAATATAACATTGTTACTTAAGAGAAAAGAAAAAGAGTTGAAACAAGTTATTTACCTCTTGAGTTATAAATGTCCATTTGGATTGTAGAAGCATCTCTGCAGAATGACCAGGAAGGTCCTTTTCAATTTCACTGAACGGCAAAGGTTGTCCATCTACATAATGAAACAGGATCAGTATCAATCAAATATAGTGAACATCACCGCAAATTTTTTGGTATGGCGAGATTTTGACTCTCTTTGTGGACAACACTGACACACACTCCACAAGATAGAAAAGGTAACATACCACTATGATATGAACGGAAGTACAGCACCGGAACTCTATAGGAAGGACTATATATAATGTGAAAATCAAAGTGGTTTACTTCATACTCTGGACCTAGTAGAAAGGAACAAATACATTATATAAGTAATTGGGAAATAAGAGTAATGAAATTGCAGAGAATCCAAATTTATGGTATGGGATAATACTAGTTTAAGAATACCAATTAGGACATACAAACTAAAGTTGCATCATCAAAAGGCTCTTCTGTTTGAGAGATGTTGCTCTCTTTCCTTGTAAGACTCCTATTGCTCTCTTCTTCCTGTAATGACAATGCCAATTACAATTCAAAAACTAACAAACTTATTTCGTGTATGTTTGGACTGACAATGGGTTTCACAGAATCAAAGTGGTCACTATAATCTTATAAAAACTACACTTTGAAGCTTTAGTAAAATCAGAGGTATTGTGATTTCGTCAAATTCATTGTGATTTCAAATATGCAGGTCCATGAAAATTAGTTTTACGCTAAATTGCTGACAGACCTCACTGGATTTGACGAGGCAAACACTCTCAAGTGATAAGTATCCTTCCACCTGACAGAGAGGTTGAGATATACAAATAAATAAAAAATTTAGGACAGATGCTAAGCATTGAACAAGGCAGTGGATTTGTGAATTTCATGTCAAAGGAGTCACCTTATGAGAAGAACCGAAATGATGTTTTGGACAAGTGGTCCACAACCATGGAGGAAAGAAAGGATTAAACAATTTCCACTTGTTAGAAAATGTAGAAGCGGAAAGGGTAAAATCATTTAAAGAGAGAGTTCCATCCCAAGGTATTTTGTTCTCAACAGATTCTTTAATGTCCATACCCCTACAAAATGGAGGCACATTTATTTTGTTATGATGAAAAGAATGAAGCTCAAATACCCCAAAAATGGAACCATAATGTTATAAAAATTGAATCAAACATCAAACTAACAAGACTTTTCGGACTATGGCTGAATTGCTATAAACCGCTCAAACTAGAACTCAATTTTGGTCTTACCACTTAAATAACCTGTGAAAGATTGTTCATAGTTCAACCGGTTTTTAAAACCTTGTCAGTATAGGTGTTCAACATGTATCCATCCAAATCTTATTGAGTTTGCATCTCTTTATTCTTTTTAGATCTTTTCTAATCACACTTTAAAAATAAATGGTAACAACCCAATTTATTTAAAATGTAGGGTCAACATTTTATTACTGCCTACTTAATTAAGTCTTCAAGAAGTACTGAGAAAGTTAGTTTTGATTTTTTATGATGACATTCTGGTTTATAGTCCAAATTGAGCCAGTCATTTAGAATTGTTTGTCAAATTGTCCACAAATGCTCATCCGTCATTACCTACAAACCAGAAACTGTTTGTACATTTTTCATTCCGTTGTATAGATCTCATCACGTTCCATTCAGCTTCATAATCTCATGCCCTAAATGTTTCATTGTAGTTGCTGAAAATTGAAACTAATTTAAAAATATTAACTTAAGCTTGTTCTTGTAAACAAGTTTTCTTGCATTATAGTACATTTACATTCAAGCTTGTCATTGACATGATATTTTTCTAATTCATATTATATTTTGTTACATTCTCGGGATATTTGAGCAATAATAATTTACCAATATTTAATTTTTATATTAGTTTTGTTTAGTAAATAAAATGGCAGGTATTATATTTCATACTTTTTACCCGATACTCACAATATTCGAGCCAATATTATTACCCGATACTTAATATTTTTGTATTATGTTTTTGTTTAGTATATAAATTATCTGTATTGTATTAGCAGCCATACTGTATCTAATTAAAGAAAAAAAAGTATTCTTCCCTTAATTCAGTTTAACCAATTTAGAGGTAAGTTTTCAATAACCTTCAATTGAGAGGATTATATAAAATTATAATTAATATCAAGACATTTTCTAGGCATCAATGTTTTTATTTATGATCAATCGGTAGAAAAGGCCAATATTCTCATCATCAAAATAATTTCAAAAAACAAATTATCAGAAATATTAGACTCCTTACATCTGAGAAAATACTAGTACAGTAGCAAATCCATATACGTTATCAAGCAAATAAAATCAATAAATGAATCAGAAACCTCAAATCAAAACATAACAAAAATTATGTAAAAGTGCAAGTAATTGAAATGTAGTGTCCAGATGTAGCTCACATAATAATAAAGAGTATTATTGGGCAACGATGAACACCTAATGAAAGAGATGCATCAGAAAAAAATGGGAAACCCCAAATTCATCCAACACAAACCCTCTCAGTTTAATTTCCCAGCCATGTAACGGTCTCTACCAGTTATTATCACGGTAGATACCTGACTATATGCCTGGATTTTATATTCAATTCAATAACAAAACAACACATTTATCAAAAATCAATGAAGTTCACATTAAAACAAGAACAAGCATTGTAAAACAGCATAATTCAAACGAAACTATATTAAAATTAAAAAGCGAAATATGCAGAGAGAGGCAAACCCTAGATAGAGTGATGATGAATGAAATTCTTCACTCGACTGCTCCGTTTTTATAGCACGCATTGGAAATGGTGGTTCGGTTGAAGGAACGGTAGAATCGGAATTAGGGTTTAAAAATAGGGCTGGGTAATCTATCTTGTTGGGCCTTGAGACTTTAATCTCTTGTAGAAGGGAAATAAATCTACTTACACCCTACAATTATATCTCAACTCATTATTTCATAGACTTTTTATTTTGCCCTCATATATAATATATTAAAAAATAGTTTTATTCTATTTTTCATAAATTTATTGGATAATATTTGAGCATTAAATTTTTGCTCTAAGTTTTGTCTCAAAATTATAATATGTCTTTTTTTTTCTCTTGATTAGTGCCTAAGTTAGAATTGAAGTAGAGAAATTGTTCCACCATGATTTTACCAATAGTCTTAGTCTTTGAGTGATTCGGTGCACCTCAAAGTCCATACTTTATTTTTCAAATATTATATGTCATGTTATTGTAATGATGAAAAAAATTGTTAATTTTAGGTGTTCAAACTAGTTTTACTTATGTTAATGTGTGAGTAAAACTTAACCAGAATATTAAAGATGTTTGAAAGCTAATGTTGAAATTAGATAGTGCGCTAGGAGAAGTTATTTTCCTCAACAGAAAGGATATGTATGATTTATAACCCTAGTTGGGGAAGATGGTTCTAACTTCTAAAACAAATTTGCTAGAACATTTCAATGGTACGTCCCGATTCGACCATGAATTATTGTAGCTTGAAGAAGATTATAAATGACTATGAACGAAAGTAAATTATAGATTTAACTCACAATGACAATATGTCAATAATTTGAGAATTGAACATCGGAAGTTCATAAGTATATCTCAACTATGAAAAATGTCAAAGTATAACAAATGATGAATAAAGGGCTTACTCTGCACTCAAATGAGTCTTGAGCTCATTCGACTACTCTTTAGTGAAATGACTAGATCAATCTACTTCCTACCATTTACATCTCAACTCGTTTACTTAGACTCCCATTATTGAATGGTGGACTCACATGTTTAATAATCATCAGTGTATGCGCCAAGAACCAGAATTCACTTCAAGGTTATTGAGAAGTCCTCAACGAACATCAGATACCCGAGTGAACCTTAGTGCAGCCAACCACCCTCACAGGGTTGACCAGGTGAAGAGAATCATTATACT